AAGTTGGGTTAATAGATAAATCAGTTGATTGATCACTTTTCATTCCTTTGGGACTAAGAAGTATCGTATAAGCAATACTGTATTGTTTTTTCATCATAGGCAGTTTTTAAATATCACCCAGCAATTGAAAATGCTGAATATAAGCCTTACGAGGAATTGAGAATACCTCAAAAGTTGAATGACCACTAGATGGACTTCAAAATTCAGTGCATTATATAATCATATCAATGGCTACATCACCTACATCGCGAAGTAAATTTTTTCCTAACAGCAGGTTACCACTTGTTATCACTACAATAATGGCGATTTTAATTATGAACCAGATATCTCTTTCGGCTTTCACACTGATTAACCACTAGGTGGTATTTAACGTTTATTTTCCGGAGAAGTTAAACCTTGATCACTCAGGTAACTGATTACGGAATTCACTTTATGATAACTAAGCAAATACAGTAAGTTCACGGAGTCGAGACGTTAATATTATCTGTAAAAAATACTCGTCTAGACATTAAAAAAGAACAAACAGTTCAGCAGAGAGTTCCTCCTAAGTGAATATGTAACCAATACAAATAAATATCTACGTATGTATGTACAAAGCGCAAGGAACATTGTTTATATCGTCAGAATATTTCAAAATAGTTATGAATAACCACAATTCTAACAAGAGGGTGAAGATTAGTAAGTTTAGACTAAGGCTAAATAATATGAAAAACGTTCAGAGACGCTGGGTGTTAACATAAGAGCGCGGAGACAAATAAAATTGTGGTAGGTGAACATAGTAAACAGTACGTTAGTTACGAAAATGTTAATAAATGTTATTTGAATAGTACACAAATAGTAACATTAACAAAATTTCGATAACAGTCGGACTAGGAATTATACCTAAGGTAGAAAGAAGGAATGGAGAAATTTTGTCTATGTACATAAGTCAGGGTTTAGCAGAACGGGAAAAAAATATAACACAAAGATCCTCTGCGTTATGTGAGTTGACATGTGATGAACGCCAAACATTCACATACTACACGGAAGTGCATACTTGGCGTCCATTCAAATATAAGCCTTTAGAGATGGCTAAGGATTAGCAGAATTATATTGATTTAATTCGTAAGGCTTGTAAGTGAAATGAAAGCTTGAGTCACTATGGGAATTAAACCAGTGTCTATATATTAATACACTATTGCTTTGTCAAATAAGGAGAGAAACAACTTCAATCAATGTCTATCAAATAATTCTTTTTTTTGAGCTTAAGAGAAACATGATTTGTATGTGGATATATAATGCTTGTTGGTACTGAAAGACAGAAAACGAGTTAACAGATAAATGACTACAATATACACTCATTTATACTACGAGTTTGAGGTTAATTTCTCTACTGATATCACTGGTAAATGTAATGACTAAACTTTATTAGAATGTGTATATTCAAAATGCGTCGTGCGAATAAGTGCTGTAATGAGTTTTCAAGAGTCCATTAAAAGAAAAGAAAACTCTGACTACCAAATATCCATTCATTGTTAAAATGTCTTGTAAATTACATTCATCGTGTATTAAATTGGCGTCGGTGGTTCGGCGGTAGAACGCTCGTCAACCATGCATATGGTCTGGTGTTCTATCCTCTGCCAAGGTACTTCTAAACCTTGCCAATCTGGCAGTAAGACCAGTAAAGAGCGAAGGTTTGGCGTGAATCTAGCAACTCAACCCCGTAAAAACAAGGCTGCAGCTACCGAAATTTCAAAGCTCTAGCTCGAAACCCTACGTTCCATTAGTAAAGTTAAGGAATAAAATATAAAAACAATGTATTAAATTGACGTTGTAGCCAGATGTAACCTGAATTTGAATAACCTTCACCTATCCCTTGGAGTCCAGTTATGGATACAGCTTTGACCAGTTAGAAACTGAATCAGGCAGTCCCAGTAAATAAACTTAGTTTGGTTAGTTTTGTTGTATTATTCACTTTGAAACCATCAAGATTTCACAGACCACAGTATTTTCCTATAAATGAATGATTCTTACGGATACCTTTCGTAAAGTTTGCAAATGTTTATTGGTTATATGCATTCTCTAATCAGTTGATTTTATTAAACATAGAGCTCGGTACTCAGTTCACATTACCCATCTAAGACCGTTTAAATCAGTATCAAGCTGTGCCGAATAAGTGTTAGTTTGACACTACATCTAGTTTTACTGAACATAAAAGTCTCGTGCAAAACGAAAAAACTGAAATTTCAAACGATATATTGTGCCATTTTTCAATGTTTACACATATCTATGGTGACGAGATGTATATTCGTTACGCTACATTGATCAAAAAGTCTTTATTCTTCTATATCTTATGTAGGTCTTATATTTATACGTGTTCATCAGCAAGGCTGGTTTTTCCTGAAGATTTTCAAAGACTCTGGCAGTTAAATAAATAATTATCTGCACAGAATAATTTAACTACTCAGAAATTTTAAATTATAGGGAAAATAGATTTTGGGTCCCACACACACACACACACAAATGTATTATGATACTAAATATATACATTCCGAAGAATTAAAATACCAACTGACATTTGCATACATACAGCAGAGTTTGAAGTACTTCTGTAGCTCTCTAACCACAACTGAAATCCTCATGTCTAATTTCTTCATTCTCGTTTACTGTCTTATCTTGCTTTTATCACTTTCATTATCTTTTTTTTAATTGTATCGATGTAAAATTTGACAATAGGAATGACAGTTCTGAGGCACACCTTGTTTATAATAATACTGATCTTGCTTTTGTCTTTCTGTGTTGATGGCAGTTTCAAACAGCTGAATCGTTGATAGGGTTTCATTTTCCCATTCTTAATTTGATTGTTACAGAATATTTCCCCCAATTAATACTTTTAATAAGATGATTTGCAAAGGTCGGATTAAGCTGTTTCTATGATAGGAGAGAAAATGTCACCAGTGTGAGCGAAGAAGTGGTTTAATAGACAGCAGCTAACTATATATTACTTCTAGGGCCTAGAAACAAAACAGTATATATGTATGCTTATATAGAGTAGAGGCATTAGAAATATGGTACAATCTCTTTGCATTAGAAACTGAGCAACCAGTTACAACTGATAAATATGTCTAACCACCGCTAGAAATCAGTGTCTGTAATTTTGTACATAAATATGTACATCAATATAACAACAGACACCCAAAAAATTAATCGATAAGTATATAGACGCCTAAAATACGCGCTTGGTATACTGAAACAGGAAAATCTCGACTAAATAATGTTATGAAAAAGGTGTTTATTTATATATGAAAATTGAAATATTCTTCTCTATTAATTGCCTGTTACTTTTTAGAAAAATTACATAATTATTCTATGGATTTAAATAATAACATAAAATGGTGGGATTCGATTAAACTCCTATTAAATTTTACCACTAACCGGCATCTGATAGAAAATCGTAGTAAACAAAGCTAAAGGAATAACAGACATCTATTGCTTTCTGCTTTGAGGCTTCCTACAGCTGCGCAACCATTCATTAATGACCGTCTTTGAGATAGACTTTTTAGTATTTTATTGAGAAATCCTAACCGATAAGATCTATCTAGGCAGTAATGAGGACCGATAACAATCCTCATCTATAATTACACTTACAGGACTCAAGGTGAACATAGATAAGGTGGAGACGGAGGTGATGAACATAATCAACCACCATTAACAGGAACAACAACTAGCACCAATCACTATTGACAGGAGAGATTTGAAAGACGCTACTTCCTTCACTTATCTAGACAGTAAACATTGTTTCAACCACAGCCAGTCGGAACGGATGAAGATGTCAAAGCTGGCCAGCCAGAATCGGAAAGGCAAGACACGCCTCTACCAACCTGAAACTAGTTTGGAAATCTTCAGCTTGACTCACTCAGTCAGCCAGCATAAAGAACAAGATTTGGATTGTTTCCAACACAAATGTCAAGTCAGTCAGTTAGTTCTTCTCTACGGGCGAGAAACTTACTCTGCGTGTTAGTGACGAAAACGATTTCCATTAAGTTTCAGACTTTTATCAACAGTTACCTTCGCCGTCTCCATAGCGAAGATCAAATGGCCAGCCAGAAAGAATTACCAACAAGAGACTTTGCGGTGGAACAAACCGATGAAGAGCCAATCGTTCAACGAATATATAGGAGAAAATGAAGGCAGATTGGGTATACGTTGAGGAGGCCGTCTAATGAAATCGCATGCCATGCCATCACTTGATTGGAATCCTAATGGGAAGTGATTAGTGGGTTGTCCGATGGTGAGATGGAGAAGATCGTGTGGCGAGGAGGAGGAGGAGATGAGAGATTATAGACAATCGTGGACCCGGATGAAGAGGTCAGCACCAAATAGAATGAAGTGGATATGTATTGCTGAAGCCCTTTGCTGCACTCGGAACCCAAGGGAATAATAGTAATATTATACTTGCAAATTTTCATATCACATCAGAAAAATTAATATCACTTAATTTCACCTCTTTCACTACATCTTAAGTATAATATTTGTGACTATGTTACTTTTTAGACTGAAATTCATGAAAGCAGTTGAAATTTCAGAACTGTTGAGATGGAAATAGCAAAAATGGATACTTACTGTTGAATTCCATGTTTTCACTCTCGTTTCATGATCGGTATTGTCCATTATTTAATTTTTTTTAGAAAAAGTAATGGAAAATTGAAGTCAAAGAAAACAGGGCAAGTGATTTTATTTCTACTAGCTACTATTCGAAACTAATTGGACGGTTTCTTTGCTAGTTTTACACAGTATTAGGTTACCTAACTAGAAAAAGAAGATTGAAATTTTGAACTTAACATACAGAAAAAAATTTATTTCTCCATTTCTGATAACATGAGTTCACTTTTAAATTTTACCGTTTCATATTACAATAATATTTTCTCATTTTGTTAAAGGTAAAGGTGACTTTTTAAAAGATTCCGTAACTTTTTGTACATTTAAATACTAAAATTTTATTACTTTTTTAGATTGTATATATGTGTTGCAAACTACTTGTCAGATATGCTAAGACAGGATGTACATCAATACAAACGAATTCACCAGACTTTCGATCAGTAACCAGGTAAGCAAAGGAGTAACCATTTCAATCTGTTAAATTATTTTGTTTTTGAACATACCATTTTGAACCTATCAGTTTATAGTAATCTCTGAGATTATTAATTTCTCTGAAAAGTTCCCAGACAGTGAAATAAAAACTGATTATGTCGCACAAACAAGCTGGTGTCGGCGTTTTTCTTTCTATACACAAGGAAAACCCTTATTCATGTACACAGAAGTGGTTTATTCAGTTCCTGAGATGTAATCTCACATTTTCGCTACCAACAGAAATTAACAGTTCGCACGCATAGGAACTTGTGTGATGTTTTAGAACACTTTTGAACTGTAAAGCTTTGAAATGAAGTTGAGAAACGAAAGCGAAAAAAAACTTGAGTCAAGTATAGCTTTCTGCTAATTGACTTTTCACGTCTAATGGTATCAAGTTATTTAATTTAATGGTCACCCTGAAAAATTCGGCCAGACGGTCTGTCGGTTTTTGACATAGAACTTTGCACATATGTGCGGCAGTTCAAGTCGCCACACTCCATGTAGCACACAAAGCAAGAGACGAAAGTAGGAGAAATGCATAGTATAGACCTGAAAAATTACCTAATAAGCTTTCATCAGAGTTTAAGGATTTGACAGGCATACTGATTACTATTCAGTTTCTGTTTCTTTCATTATTTACTTTGTCAGCTTAAGTGGTTTCGTTTTATGCACTGATAAGCAGATTAACGGCAGCACTAACAATTAGGCAGTGTAATGATGATTGTCTACTGAATCAACCATCCGCTCAGACATCAAATCAGTATGTCATTTATATCATATTGAGCCGAATATTCACCTATAGTTATTAAATTAGATCAGCTTTCATCCATTTTTTCTAAACGATATTCAATATCGTGTTCATAGAGATGGCCTATTACTTCACAAACGTTCTGTTACCCTGTTGGTTGAAAATACATCATATGAACCCAGGTGTTATTTTTCTGTCAACTTTCATTTGCCAAAGTATAATTTTTTTATATCTATTTACCACTTTATTCCCGACTGTTTTGAGGTTTATTTACTTTTAATGTTATTCGCTTGCCAGGCATTATATTTTGTTCCTTGTGGTCTCTTTCTGTTATTCTAAATGATGACCAGTTGTATACCTCTACAGAAGGATATCAGTTGTCTCAATTAAACAAGTTTCTTGTGGAAAAAAATAAGCTCTCATGATTCCCGTTACTTTTCAGTCATCTCCCATCTGTCTTAAAAGGGTCTCACAAAACTACTTACACATCACAGACACTGGTACAACAAAATAATAATGATAATATGTAGAACAAATCAGAGTCATGTTGTTTTATTACTATGTGTTTTATCCATTGAAAACACTGTGAAACAACCATATTATCAAAAAGTACGGGAGCATTTGAATAATTTAATCAGCTTGACAGAGAAATTATAGACGTGACGATAAAAATAATACTATAAAGAACCCCGTCGAGTGATCCCCTCTCTTTCCTGACAAGCAATGTTAGGTGGTAGAGAATTAAGCTGGAAGAAAGTTAGAGATGATCAGGACAAATCATAGTTGTTAGTTTAGGTCACATTAAATGGTGTAGACTGTCGATTTCAGTTGGCTGAAGGGCTATGAATTGGTGGTTTGAAGACTGTTGGTGATCCAACTTAAAAGCTTTCTCAGTGGTACAAATATGATCTTACAAATTCTGAAAATATTGATTATTTATCGTGTAGTTATTTCTTCACCTTCACATTTCTGCCGTTTTGTAGTTTCCTTGCAGATTTCTTTCTCTATCTGTTATGAATTATGGTAACTTGAAATTGTGCGCTTTTTTGGAAAGGTTTGTATTGATAATTTAGTTCAGATCATGAGGGACCTAAGATAGTGTAAAGCTAACCATTGTGTATTAGTCGTCATGAATGGTATATTCTAAAGTTAAACATTTGTGAAAAATCTAAAAAAGATAGATGATTTTTAAGTCTCTTGCTTAAATAACTTCATTCTGTCATCAATTTAGATTTCATATTAAATAGATCACGCTAACAACTTCCTGACTTCGTATGCATGTTAAAAAAATATAATGAAGAATTACAGTTTGATAAGCTTTGTGTATTTCTTCAACAAAACTGATGTGATATTCGTCAAGTATACCACTTTGTGTGAGTTTTCTCTCGTTTCAGGGAAAGACGATACGTCTGAAATTGCATTTTGCTAGGATCATTTCTACTTCGCTAAATGACTGAATAATTTATTTTATTTGATGACGTCTATACTGAATATAGTCTACTGAGATTGGTAAGAGTGTGAATATTAATTCACTTTGTGTGCATAATAAAACTCACATGTGTGGTTTTCGAAATGACCTTAGGAAAATACAAAGAGTCATCTATTCCATGGGATACATTGCCATCAAAATCATCCACCTGAAATATAATTATTCACAACGATTGTGTAAATCCAGGTAATTAGTGTTAACAACTAGAAGATGTGCTGTGACCCTAAATATGTCTGTAGTTTTCACCCTTAACAGGCACATCTCATCATTGTGTGCACAAACTCAATCACATCGACTTATGCATATGTAGGTCACTATGCAAATGTGGTGTTTAGAAATCACGATCTGTACACATCGTGTGTAGCCATTACTATTTCCAATTAAACTGTTGACAATGTTAGGGCTTTCTTCAACGAATTCATCTAATCTGGTTGATGTTACGAAAATGCATCATATACTGATGGACTTATTAACTCTTAGTTTTTATGGTGTGAAGAAGTATCTATTATCACTGAGGTGGGAAAATTATGATAGCTTTATTAATGTCGATAAAGAATGAAAGGAATCTCAATAACTATGAAGCACCTGTTAAAGGTTCTTCACCTGTGAACATTTCATTATAATAATTATGACTATTGTTCTCTTGGGTTCCGAGTGGAAAACAGGGTGTCAGCAGCAGATTTCCATTCTGTCCTATTTTGTGCGGTCATCTTAGGCTGGTTTCACTATTGGCCATAGTGTTTCATGCTCTCCTCACACGATCTGATGATAAACTTCTGCAGTCTGTTGGAAATTCTTTCCGCTACGCGTCAAATCTCTGACTAATATAGAAGAACTGATTTAACATTGGTGATGAAAATCCGGATTTTGTTGTTGTGTGTGCTGAGTACAGAAGAATCCCACATTGATTTCAGCCTGATGATGATCTGTCTTGTCTTTCCAATTCCGGCTGTGACATCCTAATCTGTTCTATCCGTCTGTAGTTGAAGTGATTCTGCCTAGATAAGTGATATCGGTGACTTTGTTCTAATTTCTTCCGTTGATAACAATTGGTGCCTGTTGTTGTGGGTTGCTCAGTTGGTTGGTTGTCTTCACTTGAACTCCCGTCTTCGTTGCTTTCCTTGCCAACTTGTTGGTTTTCTTCTGTATGTCTTCAAATTTATGTGTCATTGTACAGAAATCAGTCGCGATGTCCAAATCTTTTAGAGTCTTCTTAGCGATCCAACGTATTGCCGTCTTCTTGCTCCCCACCACAGCCTGACACGTAATCCAGTTCACCACAGTTACGAATATCATCACTGATAGCAGGCTGACTTGTCTCACTGTTATCGTCAAATCAAATGCACAACTGAGTTTTCTGTTGTGGGGGTCACCTAATATGTGTCATTGTCATATAGCTGTTGAATGAGGCTGATAAGGACTTGTGGTACCCCACAATGTCGAAGAAATTTCCAAATTACTTCGTGGTCAACCTTGTTGAAGCCATTTTGAAAGTCAGAGATAAGCTGACTGAAAATTTCCTGTTATCCATCGAGTTTATCTTAGCGTTTGACAACATGTCACCACATTACAACGGAGATAGGAAACAATTATACATAATTATAACTGCTTTTATTACATCATGTGATCTGTGTTCGACTGAATGTTACCGATGAAAATTCTTCTTTACTTTACCTCATAAGGACAATTATCGGATTCTTTTTTTTTACCTTATATTCCTTTATTAATGTGAATAATTCAGTGAGAACAGTTCTTGTAGGACGATAAAATACAGAAGTAATCACTGCGACAAATGTGAGCATACATTAAATGAATAGCGGGTTAATTTCGGAGGACCAGAATAAATCATGATATAGAAATGTGGTATACAAATTATACTGAGCGTTAGAAAAGTAAAAGTTTGAGCAATGAGGAGGCATTCTTATACTTCAACGGGGAGGAATATTCAGGATTTCAAAGATGGAATCAAACATAAATAGGATTCATCGTGTAATCATGCAAACGAACAAGGTAAATGATTAAAAGGCATTATCAGGATCTTGATTGGTAAGAAAGTAGATGAATGTGGACATCAAGTTAGATTATCAAAGGAGTTAAGTGTGAAATGAAGTGAAACTTTGGATAGGTTGATTGAAGGAGACAGTGCTTACCAAGGTAATAATAAATCTCCTTTTGAACTCATAATTCAAGCCACATGCTTTAAGTGGCAAAAGCTACATCATTTCTGTTTTGTTTAAATCACTAAAATGAAAAAATGTGAATGGGAAAGAAACATCTAATCAACGTTTAGATGAAAATAAAGAAGCATTTGATAGATTCCAAGTGATTATCACCCATGCTGTCAACAGTTCTGTTCCACACAAACTATCGTAACTTCATGTGAGAGGATTTGTGAATAAATAGATTAGAAAACTTGAATTTACGCTTTTATGGAGGATTCATATGATATTTTCTAATATACTTTTAAAAATATTGATTGGTTGTTTGATCGGTGTTCTATTATAGTACATGGAATAAAATAGTGCTTCAGTCTAATTTACATTAATCTCATGAAATAAGAAGCAAATATTTAAAAGATATTATTTCACGGAAAGTAAATAGTGAGTTATGATAAACTGTGAATGCAGTAGTCTCAGCTCTCAACTTTTCTGTTGATTTTCTGAATCTGACATTGAAACACAAGTTTTTGACTCATATTTGATTTGATTTCCCCTAACTTTACATTGTTATTCATAGGTATTCATATAGGAAACTTAGTTTAATTACGATTTTTCAAAACCCATAGTCCTCAACGAAAATATATTGTTGGTTTGTATGCAGTTAACTACAGGTATGCGTAGAAGCAGGTTGCTCTGCTGGTGAAATGTAGTTACCAGACTAAATAGTAGTTTACGCCATAGACTTTCTGGAGTCTTTGTTGCGATAAAAGTTTTCAGCGTTAATCTTAGCATCATCTTCACTGCTTATTCCTTGTTACGATCGAAATCCAAAATATTGTGTATCTGTGCTATATTTTGTCTAATAATTATAGTGTGTTGTCAGTCTACTATTATGACAACGCAATAAGAAGACGTAGTTTATCTGAGACGTGTAATGTATTTACGCAACACATTTCGAACATTCTGATCACACATACGAGTACTTATCATACACAGTTTTATAGAAGGCATGAATCATTACACTACAGATCAGGGCGTGTGCAGGTCAAGGTCACAAATAGTGGGTAGGCAGATGACGCAAAGGAGTGGTTGAGAAAGAACCAAGGATCAATTCACTTCATAATATTTTCAACCCCTTCTTCGCTTTGTTTTTCTCTTTCTCAACCACTCCTTTGCGTCATCTGCCTACCCATTATTTGTGACCTTGACCTGTACACGCTCTGACCTGTAGTGTAATGATTCATGCCTTCTATAAAACTGTGTATGATAAGTACTCGTATGGGTGATCAGAATGTTCGAAATGTGTTGCGTAAATACATTACACGTCTCAGATAAACCACGTCTTCTTATTGTGCTGTCGAAATTCATAAAGGGAACTAATTGCTTTAAATCTACTATTAATCCAGTTAGTACAGCAAGCTTTGCAAGGGAAGTGGTAGTAAAATCGATATATGGTTACCACAGCAGTTGTTTAAGAGCAATTACTCTCACAGATCACAAAAAGCATAGAAGTTCAAAGAACACTCCTAGATGAATGAATGCATGTGACCTGGTTCCTATTCATTTGAACACTTTTATTGCATAGCCCTGTTTGGAGAAATAATTTTCTTCATACTTAACAAGTATCAAGATATTTTTATTTTTTTATATATTCTTTTGATTATATCTTGAAACCATACCGTACTTTTGGTACAAGTATGGAATTTTCAGCATGCAATATCGGCAGCCCAAATTTTGCAGACCAACCATTGATATCAGGAGTGCGTCGGCAGGGGATAGAACCCTGGACCATGTGCATGGTCGGCGAGAGTCCTAACCGCTGTGCCACCGACGCACCCAAATGTAAACTCATGCTTCCGATGAACACTAGAGATTTTCACACTTTTTTCCTATAGTTGTTCAGGCGAAAGCATACTTGTTCAGTGTCTCCCTTCAAAGAAGGCTATTATTGCCTCTGAAGTAATGTTTTAGTGTTACTGTGTACTATTTTATTCTTTATGTATTACAATGCTAAATGTTTTGCCATGTCTGCAATGGCATCATACCTTTCTCACTCTGAAACTTCAAGTTAAACTATTGGACTGAAGATTTTTAATTTCAGCAAAACTAAAAACTTTCATTCGTGTTTTATGCCTACTTGCACATTGTAAGTGATTTGTGAATGCTAATTCATTGAAATCACCATTTTAGCATAATCCTTTACTTTTAGGGGACTTAATAGCGGGCTCGGTAACTTGACAAATATTAGAATAATAACCCAAGTTAATGAAATAATATTGTAACAGTATATTATAAAAAGTACACTTAATGAGTTATAGAAATTAGTGGTTACTTGGTGATACAGTTAAAGTCGGCTGTTACAAATTATTAATATAATCCACAGAAGTGTTCATTGCGGGAGTTGTGTCTACTAGCAGAAGCTGTGCACCGGTTGTGGAGTAGTCTCCGGATGACGATGAGAGGTTCCTGCGAAAATCCAGAAGATACTAACCACACGGTTAGTAGTTAAGCAGTAGACAGTATGGACCAATGAGATGACAAAACGTGGAGCAGTACACTGTATTTTAGATTGCACTCCGAAGTTATGTATATTTTACCATGAATCGCTTTAAACAAAAGCTGTGTACAATGTTCCCATTTTTAACCTCTAACAAAAAACTTTACAATCATATTGTTCCGGACTCCACATAATGGCTGACATCAGTGAAGAGGAAAAGTGTTCTGTTTTATTTTGTGTTTTTGAAATAGGTGGGAATATAAAATATATACATCGGTGAATCAGTATTGAATTTGTAGTGAAACGAAATCGTATCTTAAACGTCTTAAGCAAACCCACAAAACAACTTCTCAGTTATCTACACAATATGTGGGAATCTTGCCAAAAGAGTACGAATTAAACTTCTTCAAACTGCAGAATCAATGGCAATTCACATATTGAATCCTGAACTCTGCATACAAAAGAAGTTTGTTCAGTCACTAAATCTACAATGGTCCTGATCTATCTCAACACCAAATACGTAATTTTTTCTTACCTCTTTCTTCTTTGTTTGTCTGTTTCTCAATTGCATTATTTTCTACCCCCACCCTCTATTAAATCTCTACCCTCATGACGACTGTTGCTAACTCCATTTTCGTTTATTTTTAAGTGAATTCTACTCAGTTTATCAACTTAACTCTCATTTATTTTCAAGTGAATTCTACTCAGCTTATTAACCTAACTCTCATTTATTTTCAAGTGAATTCTACTCAGCTTATTAACCTAACTCTCATTTATTTTCAAGTGAATTCTACTCAGATTATTAACTTGACTCTGATTCATTTTTCATTGAACCCTAGCAATTAGATTACGTCACCCAACCTACTTTTGTAACTTTATTTTAGTTTCTAACCGATTAACGCCTTCTAAATTACGTAATTTGTTGTCAAAAATTAACAATTGCATTAACACATCTTTGGAAATATTCCTTATGCTGCCAAGAAAAACAACTATAAATTTGCGGTTTGTACAGCTTGAGAATGATATCGCCGAAAGGAGTAACTCTTTACTGAACGCCTTTTCTTTTCTATGACTGAATGGGAATTTTCAAATTACTTTTTATATTTATTTGACTGAATACAAATTTAGCAACGAGTTTTAAAAGTCCACCATCTCTGTAAATTCCTGTTTTATTTTTATAAATTTCGTTTTATTTCATTACTTCTTTAGAACATCTGAAGTATGTCCGACACCATCGACTATTTGTATGAATAATATATTTGACGAAGAAAATGAATTGGTGAATACCAATACAAATTGTACATACGGTACGGCTACCTATTATTATTATTATTATTATTACCAAACTTTCTGAATTAGTATACAATAATTTTGTCAAAATCCAGGTATATTCACCTTAACATTTATCACTAACATTACTGACATTACAGTTAAGGTGAGTTAGAAGCTTTGTGCAGCCATAGGTGTCTTTGAATTTCCAGTTATGCTATTCTAAGGATTGCAAGCCAGGAAGAAAACTACCTTACGCTTCTTGATAAAAGACTTCAAACAACTAATAACAACAGTGTACGTATCAACGATGAATCCTTCAGCTTCCTTACAATATTACATAGCTGGGTGATAAAATTTAACTCATCGTTGGAAGCTGACGGAACCAAACTAATTACTCATGATTAATTAGCACATATATCCGAATACCATCTATACGGGTTGAATACAATAACCTCCTAAAATATCTTTAATGTTACAACTCAACCTAGAACCTTGTACACAGTCCATATTGTAATACAGTAAAATGAAGTACTAGAGAAATAAGCCTGACAGAAAACAGTAATTAAATGAAGGTTAAAGAGGACTTCAAAATATCTGAGAAACAATGTGGCCTGAATGTGTCCGCTTCATTTGCATAGATTTCAGCTTCTGTCTCTGAGCGTTGTAAACTGTCTTCTCTCCGAATCTGGAAGAATTCAGCCTTTCAAACTAAACTTCGTTGTATAGTTTTTTACCGATATACAGACAATTCATAGGTGTTAACCTACAAATTATTTCCAGTTTCGTCCTGCAACTAACGTCTGAGTTTGTGGAAATTGATTCACTTGTGAAGTAACTTAGTTTTCTTAATTGTTACTCTACATCCAATGTCAACATCATTCTTCTCAGCACTGGACACCGATGAACGCTCAAGACCAAAAGCAGATTGACACAATTCGGTAATGTAGTAGTTGCCCAATATATATTCTTTCGGATAGAGCTATTAGAAGACGGAGTTTATCGGAAACATGTGATGTAGTGGTGCGATACATTTCGAAGAGTCTGACTACACATTTACTTGTTATATCAGTTCACATAAAAGGTGAGAAATAAAAAGCCAGTTAAAGCAAACAGAATGATTAGAAATTTAAGAATAAGAACGGTAATGACTGACACTATTTTTTGCAATATAATCAGATAAGGCTTGAAAAACAAGTGAACTGTAAAACTTTGATAAACTCAGGTGGTAATCTACTAATTTCGTTTCTAACAACAAAAAAACTCAGTTGATATACATAAGAAAATTGTTATCAAAACAGATTTCAAGATTATCTACAAAAACTGTCAGGTGTGCTTGCTGAAATACTCTGACGCGACGGCTGTCCACAAAATGAAGCCTCCCCTCTGTATGTGCAAAAACAATTTACTATTCCTCTGACGTAAACTGGTAGTCATTATCTAATTATATGACCAAAGGTAGTGTTAGTCATTATCATTCTTATTCTTAAATCATTTGTTTTATCCGTATATAAGTAAATGTGTGATCAGACTGTTCGAAATGCATTCTACAAATACATCACATTTTCTAAAAACACTTTCCAAATTTATAAAACAGACTAACTGTTTTAAATGTGCACTTCCACTTGCCTGAATAATACATGTAAAATAAATCACACTATCTGATATGTGCTGTGATCAGTCACACAGAATACAAAGTGTAATTTATCGATTGATAATTTTCTAACAGAGGATATTCTCCACTAGTTATTGAATCAGCGGATAGTGGCAGATGTCTACCGACACTATTCACTTCATACCTCTCCACCATAGTTGAAAATTAATGATTACTCCAAGCACATTTTGCACATACTGGGCAAATTATCAAACAACAACTACGCTGACACACCGAAACTTACACCCTGAATCATCTAAAATTCTATTATAAAATCTTTTGTTTATTGTCCTTTTTCTACTGAAAATATTAGTCACGCAAACCTCCATGTTACTTAATATGATCTTTAGGGTTTTTTTATTTTCCTGCTCCGTCATGCTTCTAACTTTGTTTTATTCCAGAAAACAATACCCACCATGCGAACATTATTCCCAAAACTCCTGTTGGTGTAAACACTGTTGTGGAAGCTTTACTAACCACCCAATATCCGGAATCTGTTGTAAATGAAGCTGAATATTGGAAAGTATGCATTTTCTTATTTGAATTCAATACCCTGTAGACTGGTTTCAAACAGTTATTGTTTAATGACGAGTATTATGATACATTTTTTTTCATTTTACTCCACCTCCAGTGTATTTAGTCTTCAGTATTTGATTTCTTACCATATGATACACGAATGAGGACTTCAGGTTGTGGATAACTCAAGAATTCTTACGACCATTAGTTGTCCTTAGGTTAAACAGTACAAAAATAGTCCAAAAAATGCTGTTTGAGTATTTTAGAAGAATCCAAATTTAAGTGTCACTTCATTATTATCACTTATTACCTTAGATTCCACCAACCATGCATGTGGTTTGGGCTTCAAACGTTTATTTTATTTAGTCGATGTAAGCCCAACTAAGATGGAGGACTTGGCGTGAGGCTAGCAACCCGACCGTGTAAAAAGCGTACCACCATTAACGAAACTTCAAAGCTGAAACCTAATGCCCTATGTTTCACTCCGCATGGAAACGAATAAAATAAAGTATATTAAAGGTCTCGAGTGAAACAAAGGGCCTCAACAGCACATCTTCATTTAATGTCGTTCTCTACAGTCTTCTCTACCTGACTACATGATTTTCAATAAACTCTTATCTCCACCCCACGTGACATCCTCAGTGTCAGGCTCGGATGCACAACACATCGTTTCCCGTTCGGTTCAAAATGGAGGGCCAGAGAACCATGTGATGTCAGTCAACGGTCCTCTTAGTATGTATCCTATCCATCTCCGTTTTCTTCAACAAATTCGTAGCAGAATAGTTTCTTGCCTAGTTCCTTCCTAGAGTTCCACATCGCTCATCCTTTCTGGTAGTTTGATCTTCAGTATGGAGCGAAGTTAGCTGATAATAAACGTCTACAGTAGCCTGTTCCAAATGGTTTAGGTGATGTGCGAAGTCTCTGAACCATATAGAATCACAAAATGGCTTGAAATTGGTGTTGAAAATCTGGATCTTTTTATTTATGCTTAGTACAAAATATTTCTAAACCTGTAGTTGAAACGATGCTGACTAGATATGCGAAGGATGTGACCTCTTTCAAATTTCCTCCGTTGAAAGTGATTTGTGCTCGTTGTTGTTCGTTGTCCTCACCAGCTCCATCTTCTCTATGTTCACGTGAAGTCTTGTCTTTGGTGCCTGCTTCTCTTGCGAAATTGTTGTTTTCCGCCTATAAGTCATCCAGTTTACGTGAAACAAGACATCAATCGTGCGTCAAGTCCAGATCTTCTAGAGTCTTCTTGCCAGTCCAACGTTTTGATATCATCTTCCTCCTCGTGGTTCGTCGCACGATCTAGTCTAACACTTGACTTCATCGCATATTTTATCTGCATAATGATGCCAGAAGACAGACTAAATCAACATAATTTTGTATATGCAGTTGTATTACTGATAATTATTTTCAGTAGTTAAATTGACTACAGTAATATGTTTGAGATATCGATAATTAGAAAGAGTGAGTCAAGCAACTGCGAACACTTGACAGGCACTTCGTCACAGCAAAAACAGTATTTATAGGCAAGTGATGATTTCATTCTGACTTTTGTAGGCAGAGCAAATATCTTCACTATACAATGGATATTTAGTTCATCAAAAAATGATATCATAGTCAAAATTACAATAGAAATCAATTGTGAATATCAGTGATTTATTCCTTAATCTAAGTAATAATAATCCGCGATTACATCACAATTCACGTGTCACAGAGAAGTTAAGAGATTCTTATGTAGGCGATATGAATTCCTATCTTCAGATTCTTTTATTAACTAAGTTTCCTTGATCTTTTTTTGTTCTTTCATTTCCACTGTTATGGTCTACCCCAAGCATGACAGAAAAATTAACTTGGACACATTAGGAAGTTTTCCCCCTCCTCATAATTTCATAGAACAACAGTTTCCTGTATATGACAATTTGATGTCATTTAAGGCTTTTGACACTCAATTAAGTTGAAGTTACTGGTCGATATGATAAAAATATATGCAAACCTTGAATACGTTTGCAGGTAGAAATTAGTCTCTTTTCTTATGAGAAATTTATTGTTTGACCTTAAATAATATGGTGGTATTTCACTATTCAGTTGATGAATAACTACACATTTAATACTCTGAGTATTCATTATCAATTAAAACTAATAAAACATAGAGTAATGCTGTGTATTATGAAATTAAATAAACCAAATATTCACTTAGATTAAATCATAAACTTAGGCAGAAATCTTTAAAACAATTGAAATTTTTTATTTCATCAGTAGAATCTAAATTTTACAGTTGGAGTTTACATTAGCAAAAATTACTGAAATTTATTCAAAGAGGTTTGATTCTAAAGTAGTGAGCTTCCATCGCGACCTAATTAGTTATCGTTTGGTTATGTTAAAACTTGTTAATAGTGACAACGGCCAGTGAGAAACGGTGTATCTACTCAATTTAACTAAACTTTTCTCACTGACTGAGCTCATGTTGTACCATTTGTTATCCAGGTGTCTATTATATCAAAGGTGAGACATATCTTAGTGAAGAGAACTTTGAAACAACATGCATGCATCTACGAAGGCTTATTGGCAATTCTGTGATGTATGTACTGGCCTTGATTAAATAAATATTACTTCCATAGTATTTCTTATACATAATCGAATCTATTTGATAAGAAGCATCCACCTGAGTAATTGTCCAGAATTGCAATTTTCAATATTCATTTCAGTTACGTAGACAATCACCAGCGAAGTAATTTGAATTATCCTTATGCAAGTATGCATAAATCACGACAGTGGTTTCCCTGAAAAATACATTTATGCAATAAGATATGCTTAAGAGAAGACCTTGTTTTCAGCGGAAATAATCGACGTTTGTAGAAATAAGTTAGGCTTCTTTCAATACCTATGGGTTTTCCTTAGTACAACCTACTCGTTGGCATAAGAGAATAATCATACCAATTGACTGGGATTCACAAGCAAACATTGTCCTTCAAGCAACCTAATTGCATTAGAAATGTATTGATGCATGAGAATTTAGTGTTACGAATTTTTAGCCGCCGCTTGAATTGACAGGTAATGCTAAGAGAAATATGACTGCATTGGAAAAAGTTGCATGTGTTCTGACAAAAACATAGTACTAATTGATGAAGCTACTGACTGTTGGTATGGGTCAAGTGGAGTGATGTAAACTACCTAGCTAAGGGCTTCAAGGTGTTCAGCATGATTGGTTGAAAGCTATTTGTCAACATCACTTACAGTTTCAAAGATGGATTCACTTTCTACCTATCTCCCTGTCATCTTTCAAATTCTGAGTGTTGATAAATTTTCAGTTGAATACACTTTTTCAATTATTTCTACGTGTATAACAGTAGCATTATGTATATATACTCTTTTTCTACTTTGACGCGTACTACACCATAGTTTGACAACTGAAAGCGATGCACTCTTTCGGTCGATCAAATCACTTTCCATCTTTTAACTTTATGCTTATTCACCTTCGTCTTCAACATTTCTCGTCTTACCTATGCGGTAATCGTTCACTCAGAATTTACCACTTTCGCTTGAGATGTAATCAAGAAGAGTGCGAAATTGTAAAACAGTATATTTAATATTCTTATTTCCTTGGGTTCTGAGTGGGATATAGGACTTCAACAACACACCTCCATTTTCTTATATTTTCTGGTGTCCTCTTCAGCTGGGTCCGCGATCGACCATAATCTGTCACCTCCTCAAACTCGCACGATCTCCTCCATGTCACCCTCGCACCTAAGACCCACTCGTCACTTCCCATTCGGATTCCACTCGAGAGATGGCCTGCATTGCGCGCGATATCATTCGACGGTCTCCTCAATGTATGCCTGATCCATTTCCATTTCCACTTTCTCCTACATATTTGTTGAGCAATCGTCTCATTGTTGGTTTGTTGCCAGTCAGAGTTTCTTGTTACTAATTCTTTCTGGCTGGCTGGTTGCTTGATCTTCAGTATAAAGCCGGCGAAGGTAGCTGTTGATGAAAGTCTGCAACAGGCTGTTAGAAACCCTTTCCATGACATCCTGGCCAAGTTTCTCACCCGTATGGAAGGACCGACTTGACATTGGTGTTTAAAATCCGAATCATGTTCTTTATCCTGGCTGAGTGAAACAGAAGATTTCCAAACTTGTTTCAGGTTGATGGAGGTGTATCGTGTCCTTCATGATTCTGGCCAGTTTTGACAGCTTCATCAATTCCGCCTGTAGTTGAAACGATGATTCCTAGATAAGTGAACGAAGTAACGTCTGTTAAATGTCCCCCGTTGATGGTGATTGGTGCTGGTTGTCATTGTTGTTGCGGTTCTTCATCACCTCCGTCTCCACCTTCTCTATGTTCACCTGGAGTCTTGTCTTCGCTACCAGCCTCTTCAGCCAGTTTGTTGGTTTGTCCCTGTAAGTCTTGAGTTTATGCGACTTTAGACCAATATGATCCGCGAAATCCAGATCTTCTAGAGTCTTCTTGCCGGTCGTCCAACGTATTCCTGTCTACTCGCTCCCCACACACTGTCTTCTGCATTATTCAGTCCACCAAAATTAAAAATATCATCGGTGATAATAGCCAGGCTGTCTTGTCTCACTCATGTATTCACTTCGAACGCCTCGCTGAGTTATCCGTTATGGATCATCCAACACGTGGCATCATCATATAGCCAGTTGTTGAATGAGGCTGATAAATACTTGGTCACTCACTGCACACCGTAGTGTTCAGGCTGTTTCAAAATCACTCCTCCGTCAAAGCAGTCTGTCGAAGGCCTTTCCGGAGTTGATGAAGTTGAGGTGGAGGTTTGACTGCCATCCTATGCTTTGTTCGACAATGATAACGATGATGCGTGGAGTTGCAATTTGATCAGCACATGATCTGTCTTTCCTGAATCCAGCCTGTTCCGGTGGGTGGCGGAGTTCTGCATTCAGTGCATCTTGTATTCTCTCTAGGATGAGACGACTTAGTAGTTTACTTGCCGTGGACAAGAGCATGACTCCATGTCAGTTCTTGCAGAGTTAGGCATAAGTCGCCTTTCTTTGGTAGCTTGACAAAGTGACCAGTATTCGCTCCAATAAGTTGGCGCCTTTCCTTCTTTCCAAACCTTTTTCAATAATGATGTGACCACATCTGCCTCAGTCTCTGGACCCGTTTTCAGTGCTTTAGGGGGAATTCAATATCGCCCTGCTGCCTTCCCGGTTAAATTCCAGGTGCCTTGTTGCACTGGAGACTTCTGCTTACGTCGGAGAATTCGAGATAACTGGATGTTCAAGAGTCTTTTGAAGTGAATAGCCGATCATTTCCTTTTGCTTCCCTTCTTTTTTAAGTAGGTTCCCTTGAACATTTTCTTGATTTCATCATCTGGGTTAATCTATTCCCCAATAGACACCTGGTTATCTGATATAATGTTCTGAGGTTTCTTCTACCTGAGGACTGCCTCTTCTGCTTCAGCTGGTGGTCAGTACAGTATAATTTGAACTCAGCTTCTCTTTCTGTTGTCCATCTTCTCATTGAGTCATCTAGTCTTTCACCATCCTTCTCTCCTCGATTAGCTTCCAGGTAGGCGTCTGTTGACAGCCATTCCCTGTTGTGTCTCTTCTTTGGTCCTAGAACAGTTGTATACGTTTCCTCAAACATCACCTTAAGGGAGTGCGTTCCAGTGTTCTTCAACGCGGGTTTCCTCAGTGATGCCTGACTTTATTCTCATCTGTAGTAAAGGCATCTCTTGCATTTTTGTCCTTCACTTTCTGAATGTTGAATTTGAATTACAGTAGCCTGTGTTCAGTTCGTCTGAATGATTTCAGCTTCACACCGAAGGTTCCTTGAACTAGATGATGGTTTGCTCCTCTTCACGACTTTGTGTTCAACAGATTGGTTGCACCTTCACTTCCTTGAACAGCAGTAAGATGAAGTCTATCTGGTTTGTGGTGTGTCTGTCAAGCGAAACCCCTGTTGCTTTGTGTATATCCTTGTGTTTGTGCACAATCCCTCCGATCACCAAATCATTGGAAGCGCAGAAGTCTGCGAAGAGTTCTCCGTTCTCATTCATTTCCCCGAGAGCCTCTAGACCCATGAAGAGTTCCCTTCGAGTATTATACACTCACAGTTCAGTTGACATTCATATCGCCCATGATGAATTTGATGTTACCATTCAAGATTCTGTCCATTTCTGCTTGTAGTTGTCTATAAAAATCTTCCTTCTTCTCTTGTTCCGCGTTTTTTATAGCCCTGTGCGTAGCATTGGATAATTGTGACCTTCTCTCTTTCCTTTTGAGTTGAAGCTTGCCGTCATGATACTGGAGGAGTAGATTGGTTCCGACTGCATTAGAGCTCATGATGTCACTAGTGACATCATGATAGCCACTCACTGTCTCAGTGTCCTCGTGGTTGTTGTCTAGATGACCAGACCGGAGTAGATTTCTGACTCTCTAGTTGACAATTTTGACAGTACACATCCATTCCATCTGCTTTCGCAGATACGTAGCACTTATATGCCATATCTTTGCATTTCTTTGGCTACTTAGGCAACCTTCTCAGCAAGCCTCGCACACTGTATGGTCACTCCACGTCCCCCTTCTTAGTCTTGTTTTCGTTGAGAGAAGATACATTGGTTGACTGGCTTCCTGAAGGCTTTCACCAACCCGCTGTGTCATTTCGCATCTCTGATTCCAGCGAAGAATAAGACTGTTGTTTGAATTTTTTGTATTTTTAATAAATTTCTTTTGAATTGAAGTTTCTGTGGCAGTTTGATTGGTTTTGTGGTGCAGGATCGCTAGCCCCACGCCCAGCCCTCCCTCTTTACACGGTCTTGGAACCGGCTAGATAACTAGCAAGCTAGTAAACTAGGCTAGGTTAATATTTAGTCTACTTACAATTATTTTTATCCCATTGACAAAAGTTTGAACACAAGTTAAAATTCACTGTTTCTTTCACTCTATTTCTTAGTGACTGGAGAAGCATTATAAGAAAAACTTCTATTTTAAACAAATAAATTTATGTTTCCTTGTATTTTATATTATTTCTTTTTATCTTGTACATATTATTGAAGTTTTGATTTTTTTTTATTTGACTCTTAATAATAGAGGAAATTTAACAATGATCCTGAAGTGTGGGATGATTTCGTTAAAAATCCGATCAATCCATTGGTTCTAGTAAAATTGATCAATGACTGGTTAACACATTTAAAGGTATCAGTTGGTTTTAATAACGCGTTATTATTGATTATAATTACTAATCTTTTTCATTGTTCATTTCGTGATATGAAAACTTACCACGACATTCATTCTGTATATAACTTCAATGTTGTATGAAGGCGATATGTCTGTATGTTCTGTTGTCTATCCAAAGCTGAGGAACTGAAAGAAACACGTAGTTCAGCGAAGAGTCTCTTTTCGGCGAATTCATTTTCTTAGCTGTACAATCGCAAATATATATGTGTTATTTTGTATGTATGTGTACATTAAGTTTGTCAAACAAAAATACAATTGGTTATAGTTATTTTAACTAAACAGGTGAAGATCGGTAATTGGAGTTACGTAATACAAAATCAATCAAGAAAATTAGGTGTTAATGAAATTAGGATAGTAACAAAGGTGATGAGTTGTCACAAACAGTTGTTAAAAAAGAAGTTATGTAATAATATGAATAGTTTGATGATTGAGTTTTACTCAAGATACACAGAGGAACAAAGTAGAGAATATGAAATTACGTAAGATTTCTAAATGAATACAAGAATTATAAGCAATTAAAGAACAGGCAAACAAACAAAATTAAGTCATCAAAATCAACAAAGTTGTTACCATGACAGTAGAAGTGGTTGAGTAATTCTCTTTTGTATGCCCAGCTTCGGTTTTTCTATGTGAATGGCCAGAGCTTCGGCGATACAAAGAAGACGAAACCGTATTGCCTTTGGTAGCTTATTCTTGACTCTGTAAATTACTTTGAAGGAGGCGTTTGTTGAGATGGAACGATCAGTGTTAACCAGGTGTTCAATTATCGCACTCCTTACTGCACCACTATTGCCTTTTCGCAACCATGCTGGATAGTGCTCTGGAATCCTCTTGGACAGGGTGCGCGTCGAACGACCAATGAAGCTATCTAGCTCCGCAGTAGCAGGTGAACTGATATATGCACATAGAAGTGGTCAGATGCGGGATCTTGTCCTTGTTACTACCCTAATTTCATTAACACCTAATTTTCTTGACTGATTTTATATTACGTAACTCCAATTACCAACCTTCACCTGTTTAGTTGAAATAACCATAACCAATTGTAATTTTGTTTGACAAACTTAATGTACACAAACATACAAAATAACACTTATATATATTTGCGATTGTACAGCTAAGAAAATGAATTCGCCGAAAAGAGACTCTTTGCTGAACTACGTGTTTTGTTTTCATTAATGACTGGATGGGGATTATCCATGAACTGAAAGAATACTTTCAAATGCTATTATGCATAATTTGAATTAAAGAACACAGTGACAATTCACTAAACCTGAAAGAATCGGCCCCAAAATATTCATGTGATTGTGTTTACGAATTATGAGTTTTATGAAAAAGAGAAGACATTCAGCAAAGGGACTATTTTCGGCGAATTCACTCACAGAGCTGTACAATCGCATTTATATACAATTATTTTTGTGTGTGTACATGAGGTTTGTCAGGTTTAAATAATTAATTAGGTAATACAAGAATGATCTAATATAAAAACAAGGTAATTAGACAGCAACTAAAGTAAGATTGAGTTTATAGCTAAACACCTAATCGAGATGAACCATAAGATTGATGTTAACTCAGACCTTAAGGTCATCTGTAAAAACGGTCAAGGGCGCTTATTGAAATACGCCGAGGCTATAGCTATTCATAAACTTAAGCAACCCCCCCCCCTGTGTATTCAAAAACAGTTTATTATTACTCTTAACCTACCTTGGTAATCCTAATTTGATTGGATTACCAAACGTGTTAATCATTCTTAAATCGTTTTTTGTCACTTGGTTTAATTTAACTTCTTCATATATATCGAATTGACAAGTAAATGTGTGATCAGATTGTTCGAAATGTATAGTGCAAATACATCACATTTTTCAAATAATCTCCGTCTTCTAATAACGCTATCCAAATTTATAAAAGGGACTAATTGTTTTAAAGATTGAGTTAGTAAGTTAGATGACGTAATATAATTGACTAAAATATTTTAACTTAGGTCAGGATAGCAACAGAGGTAATTACAAGTAGAGACTAAGTAGAGGTGGGGTAGAGAATAATGCCATTTAAATTAGGACTAAAATTGAGCAAATGAATTGGATGCCGTAATATAAATGACTAAAAATTGAGCGTTGGTCAAGTGAGTAACAGTGGCAATCAGATGTAGAAATTAAATCGGGTGGGAGTAGAGAACAGAAAAGTTGAAAATGCAAAATATTACAATTGAAAAGACAAAATAATACTAATGAAGAGACAGAAAGAAATAGAATTTACCTGTCGGGTATTAAGGTAGATTACGTTCATTGCAAGTGTAGTGATTGAACGAACTTCTTCTGTATGCAGAGTTCAGGACTTAGTAAGTGAATTGCCAGTTTGAAGAAGTCTGATTCGTACACTTTTAGGAAGACTGCTTCTTATTCTGTAAGTGACTTTGAAGTTTGTTTGGAATGTAGTTTGGTGCCCGAAATCTATCAGATGTTCTAAGATAGAGCTGCGGGGGCATCGTTTTTCTCCTTTGTAAAACCATACTGGTAAGTGTTCGGTGATACATTTGGAAAGCGAAAGCTGGGTACGGCCGACATACCTGGCTCCACACGAGCAGGTGAATTGATAGATACACATTGATGAGGCTAGAAGTGGTAGCTTTTCGTTCACGTTCATAAAAATCATAGGTTTCGTGGAGAAAATCAATCGTAGTTCAGCTGCGAAGAAGGTTTTCTTAAGTGAACGGGACAGTCGATTTTTCAGTGTTCCCGCAGATGAATTTCTATTGAATTGAAGGTTCATGTAGAGAAGTTTTTCGAGGCGCTAAGCATGGGGGGCTTTTGCGGTCTAGGATTTATGGATTTTGCAATAAATCGTTCTTGGTAACAATTCTCGACGAGGATTCTCTTGAGATTGTCCAGTCCATCTTCTATGGGTTTTGATTAGGATCTTAAGTTAGTTTATTTGCAGATTACAAATAACAGCTCCATAGTACAACATCAGATGAAGCCTTTTTATCTAAAAGTCTTTGATTTTTCAATTTTACACTGTGCAAATTAAAATAAGTTAACAATAATACAATTAAAGTATACAGAGAGATGTTCAATAAAAGATATGGTGTTAACAGCAAAACAATATTAGATACATACTGTCTTAGAAGATGTTATTTAAAGGCTTCACAATTTCTCTTGGGCATCCAACATACTGTTTAACGAGTAATACAAGATACTAGATGCTTGTCGATTTAATTATTCCACGCTTTGCGTTGCAGATTGGATCAAAGCTTCGCAACAAACAAAAGCACTGACCTTATTAGTTTCAGGCATCAAATTAAAACATTTAGACTCACCTAATGACAGCTTCATTCTGAGTGCTAAATCTGCTGTACACTTTTAAATTTCCTCATATAGACCCGTTTTAAATACTGTTGATTTGCTGTGATCAGCTTTTGCAATGAACATGTTTCTATCATGTCAGAGATTCACTAGAACTAGTCTTTTCTATTTTGTTAAGTTTGACTGCGATTTCTTTTGCTGTTTTAATGCTAATGCACATTGTACTCCGATCTTGTCTGCTACTGTCTTCTCTGTTGAACCCAATGCTACATATATGTCAAGCATGAAATTCTCTGGTTTTAGTTCATTAAGTGTCACGTTGACGTTTACACTGTAGTGATTCACCATTAAGCACTAGGTTCACATAAAAGCCAGAAACAGTTTTGTTGATTTAGATGGTTGGAGGCAATCGGCAGGAAGCTTTGGATGTAGAATTCTTGCTAGTTAGTACTCACCAGTCAGCAAGGCGTATTTGCAACCTTGAAGGAACTCACGTCCCTTCTGAGATTCGAGCCCGCGTCACCCAGTGCTGCAGTCAGAGACGTTACCACTGAGCTATACGGGCTGGCGATTGCCCTCCTGTAGGACTGTTTTGGATAGTTTTGATTGGACACTAGTCAGCGACTAAAGACACAGAACTAGTCACTGGCTAGTTCCCAATCAAAGCAAAAAACAGTTTTGATATTCGGCTACTGAACTGAACAGCACTTGTTATGAATATCAGATTTATTACTTAGTTTACTTCTCACTGATAACAACAGAGAATTAGAATTTGTCAAAATCGACTTTTTGAGGTGAAAATCCAAAGAAACATTGACAGACAGCTCTTGACATTTCTGATTTTTCGTTTCAGTCTCCTGTTCTGCGTGTACAAGATTTACTCAGCTTACAACAAAACCCTTTATTCGAAGAAAATATTCTTGAATCGCTTGAAACTCTTGAGAAAGTAAGTGAAATGATGATATTAAATAGTTGATTAAAACTATTTTTTTACTTTGTAATACTTATAAATATACAGGATTTTGCCCTCACAGCCACTGCTTAGCAAGATCATTGAGAGTGTAACTTCGCGAATTAAATTTCAAGCAAAGAGGATAATTTTAATGAGCCTACATTATCTAATTTCAAGTGAAATAAGTCGTCTAAGGTGCAAAATTGATAACTGAAAAATTATTCAAATAAAACACTAACCAATGTGTATCAAACAACCAGTAAAACCACGATAGTAATAGTTTGATTCATTTCACAAAGCACAAATGTTTTCCCAGATATCATACACTATATGCTATTCTTACTCCCTTGGGTTCCGAGTGGGATATAGGACTTCAACAACACACCTCCATTTTGTTATATTTTCTGTTGTCCTCTTCACCTGGGTCCACGATCAACCATAATCTGTCACCTCCTCAAACTCGCACGATCTCCTCCATGTCACCCTCGCACCTAAGACCCACTCGTCACTTCCCATTGGGATTCCACTCAAGAGATGGCCTGCATTGCGCGCGATGTCATTCGACGGTCTCCTCAATGTATTCCTGATCCATTTCCATTTCCACTTTCTCCTACATATTTGTTGAGCAATCGTCTCATTGTTGGTTTGTTGCCAGTCAGAGTTTCTTGTTACTAATTCTTTCTGGCCGGCTGGCCATTTGATCTTCAGTATGGAGCCGGCGAAGGCAGCTGTCCGTGAAGGTATGCAGTAACCAGTTGGAAATCCTTTCCGTCACTGACACGCAGTGCAAGTTCATCACCCGTAAAGAAGAACTGACTGACTCACTTTACATTTGTGTCGAACGCAATCCAAATCTTGATGTTTATGAGGTGTAGTGAAGCAGAAGATTTCCAAATTGGTTTCAGGTTGATGGAGGCGTATCTTACCTTTCCGATTCTGGCTGGCCAGCTTTGACATCTTCATCCGTTCCGGCTATCTGCGGTTGAAACAATGCTGACTGCCTAGGTAAGTGAAGGAAGTAACGTCTGCCAAATATTTCCTGTTGATGGGGATTGATGCTGGTTGCTGTTGCCGTTGGTGGTAGGTTATCTTTATCATCTCCATCTTTTCTGTGTTCAGCTGGGGTTCTGTCTTCGCTACCAGCTTCTTCAGTCAGTTTGTTGGTTTTCGAGTTTGTGTGACATTCAACGGCATAAATCATCCACGCGTGAAATCCAGAACTTCTAGAGTTTATTATCGGCGGTCCAGCTGATAGGACCCAGAATAAAACAGTGTACCATCCTTTCTCACGGATCGTGTGTTTCATCTTGTGATGGAGATACTATGTTGGTCTATAATTTCTCACGCATTCCTAATAACTGTGCAATACAATATCTTACAGTCACAGGCAGGCCTTTGTCTTTTGATATTTGCATGGCTCAGTGAGTCGGGAGGTACAATGGACAAATAGACATACTAGCGTACCTGTCGAGTTCATAAACGTTATCACAATTAGCAGGCCCAGACATAACAAATTGGCGATGGGTTTATTCAGTTCAGAGTAGTTATAACACCAGCATATTCCTATCTACTCACTCTCCACCCACTATCTTTCGCATTATCCAGTCCATCACAATTAAAAATATCATCGGTGATGATAACAGACAGACAGCCTTGTCTTACTCATGTATTCACTTCGGACGCCTCGCTGAGTTTTCCTTTGTGGATCACCTGACACGTGGCATTGTCATATAGCCAGTTGTTGAAGGAGGTTGATAAATACTTGGTCACTCACTGTACGCCATAGTGTTGAAGTAGTTTCCAAATTACTTCTCGGTCAACGCTGTCTGTCGAAGGCCTTCTCAAAGTCGATGATGTTGAGGTAGAGGTTTGACTGCCATTCTACGATAATGTGTAGAGTTGCAATTTGATCAGCACATGATTCGTCTTTCCTGAATCCAACTTATTCTGGTGGGTTGCAAGTTCTGCATCCAACGCATCTTTTATTCTCTCCAGGATGTCGCCAATTAGTATTTTGCTTGGTGTGGATAAAAGCATTATTACACGCCAGTCTCCCTTGTTCGGTAGCTTGAGAATTATATTATTATTGTTGTTTCCTTTAGTTCCTAGAGGAACATAGGGCTTTAGTCGTGCGTCTTCACTGCGTTCGGTTCTCTGCTAGAGTCTTCACCTGGCTCCAAGTTTGCCCACACGTTTTCATCTCCTCTTCACATAACCTCCTCCAAGTCACTATTGGACGACCAACTCGCCTCTTCCCTTTCGGGTTCCATTCCAGGGCTTGTCTAGTAATGTCACTTGGTGGTTTCCTCAGAGTATGGCCAATCCATCTCCATTTCTTCCTGCCTATTTGTTTCACAATCGGTTCCTGGTTGGTTCGCTCCCATAGATCTCTGTTGCTGATCTTTTCTGGCCATCTGATCTTGAGTACTGAACGAAGACAACTGTTAACGAAGGTCTGTGGTTTCTTTGAGATGTTCTTTATGACGCGCCAAGTCTCTGATCCGTATAGTAGCACTGACTTCACAGTGAAGTTGAAAATCCGGATCTTATTTTTGATGCTGAGTGCTGTTGACCTCCACACAGACTTGAGAGTAGTGGAATCTTGTCTTGCTTTCCCGATCCTTGCTTTGATATTCTCGTCAGTTCCGCCTGTAGTTGAAACGATGCTTCCCAGGTAGGTAAAGGAGGTTGTTTCTTTCAGGTTCTTTCCACTTATGCTGATTGTTGTCTGTTGTTGTAGCTTGACAAGGTAACCAGCTTTTCGTCCAATCGGTATGCACCATTACTTCCTTCCAAACATTTTGCAATAATGGCATGAGCATATCTACCGAAGTCTCTGAGTCCGTTTTTAGTTCTTCGGGGGAAATTCCATCTGGCCTTACCGCCTTCCCAACTGGACTTCAGTAACTTGGTCACATTCAGGATTTCTGCTTTCGTTGGAAGATTGGTATCCACTGGTAATTCTGTGCATATTGTTTTTGGCATTTCTGGATGGTTTGCAAATGATGGTAGACTGAAGAGTTGAAGGAGTTCAGGACAATACACTCATATTTAATATAATATATATATATATATAACAGAATCACAACCTGCTATACAACTGTTTATTTTTCTTGTCACAGAAGATAGAAAACTGAAAATGAATAAATGATGTAAAACCAATGCATTTTAACATAAAAGAAATTCTGTAAATATAATGAAATTAATAGCATTTAATTTTGAAATGCTTAAACGTCATATACTTTCCATGCAGTTATACATAAACCAGTGAGCGACATACTTGGATGAATTTTAAAATTATTATTATTATCATGAATCCAAGTCATCTAGAAAACCATAGATAAAGAAAAAGCAATGGCTTATCATAGTTTGAGACTCATTAACTGACAGCTTTTAGAAAGCACAAGTTATGTGAATGAGATGGTCCTTGACTTTGTCCCACAAAAGTCCATCGGTGAGAATTGATGCTGAATGTCAAACTAGAATATAACAGTATAGTCATTTGCATCTGTCTCTTAATTTAATTATTAACTATTTGATAGTTAACTCAAGAGAAAATTTTCTTCTGTGTATTATTTCTTATTGAATCCTTATAGCCAGTGGTTTGTTTAATGAGTCTATTCGCAAGACTGATAACCAATTTACAACCTTTATGTGATATAACAGAATACCAACTAATACAACGTGTTTTGAATTGGTTATGTCAAAACAAATCAAAAAATGCACAAATGATAACATCATCAAATGATTCAAACAATTTCAATGCTGGATTGCCATATCATACAAGATTCGATGATTCAATGAGAATAGCCATTAGAATTATGCGTTTTTTAATTGATTTTGTAAAACCAAACTGTGGACAATCAGTTGAAAAGACTGATTCATTGTCTTCTTATTCATCATCTACTTACTACTTATATTGATCACCAATGACACTGGTGACCCATGACACACTGGTAGTCAAAGTATCAGCTATATGTGGTCAAGGAGATCAACTCTGAGATTATAAATTTGTCTATTTTTTAAGTAATTTATTATTCTTACTGTTAATAGTAATAGAATTACTAAATAAAAGAGTAAGATGTTCATATGATTGCAAGCAAGTGTATTTTGTTTTTAAATGCATTTCAACGAATGGTCCACATTGAAATATATATGATGAGAATGTAATCAATTGTTGGGGTCTACAGTCTATTGAAATCGATATGTATATTACGATAAGTCAGATCATAGATTTTATACATTTATTCCCCTTAATGAATTTGAACAAAGCAAGAACTACAGTTTTAGCAGAATAAAATGGTACCATCTTTTATTTCGTTGCCTTCTCGTCAGCTGCTTACAGGGCAAAGACATTAAATATATCTACAAAACGAGTTCATTTTAAACAAAAATCAATCGATCAATATACGCATACACTAATAATAATATATGCATATATATATGTAATATTAAACACTGTTCCGAACAATAATAATCATACACAATGGAAATTTTCCGGCATTTCGCAATCGGATGAAAAATATCCAGTTACCAGGGCAAGGGCATATCTACGATTTTCTGAACATGTACCAAAAAGCTTACGTCTAAAGGGAACAAATGCTTTAAACAGTGCCATCACCAGGCATCTACTCGACACGGGTCATGAGGTGGACGTCGAAAAGTCGTTCAAAATTATAAATAGGCAAAAGAGCTCAATTCTCGTTAAGTTTGATGAAGACATTTCCATCAAGCGCCTGAAACTTGATTTATGCGTCCAGAAAAAAAGCGGTTATCAGTCCTTCTTTGCCCTGGTAACTGGATATTTTTCATCCGAATGCGAAATGCTGAAAAGTTTCCATTGTGTATGATTATTACTGTTCGGAATAGTGATTCCAGCATGACTGGCTCTAATGCAATAAGTGCAGTATCTTGCCTTATTTATCTACTTGCAATCAGTTGACCGGTCGAATCACTTTCACACTTAAGATGTGAAACTTGCAGCTTTACCTCACGGTTAACACTAAATTAAATTACACTTTTGCTCCAAAGAGCCATTGAAAGAATGCTAGGTGACTGTTTGATTTCAGATTAAGGTAAACAATTATTTAATTATGAAAGTCTCCTAAATTTCATCCTAAAAAACATTCATGGAACAGAGGAATAATTGACACAAATTATAAACTGAGTCCATGTCGCAGGAACAGGCTGGATTCAGGAGGAACAAATCATCCATCGATCAAAACTCAACACTAAGGATGATCACTGAACAGAGATGGGAATAGCAGTCAGCTCTTTACTCACTCAACTTCATCGACTTTGAAAAGACCTTCGACAGCGTCGATCCAGAGGTAATTTGGCAACTACTTTGCTACTACGGGGTGCCACCAACAATTATGCACCTCATCCACCAGTTGTACGACAATGCTGCGTGCCAAGTAATCCACAACGGGAAACTTACGGAATCCTTCGAAGTGAAGATGAGAGTAAGGCAAGGCTGCCTACTATTGCCAATGGTTTTCCTGATTGCGGTAGACTGGACAGTGAGACAGACAGTGGGCAACGACGAGACAGGCATAAAATGGACCCACACAAAAACTTGGAAGATCTGGAATTCGCCGATGATATATGTCTGATTTCCCACAAACTGGAAGATATGCAAGCGAAAAGCAACAAGTTGGCAGAAGAAGCATCAAAGACAAGGCTTCAGGTGAACATAGAGAAAACAGAAGCGATGAAGATCCCTGGCCAACAGCAACAGACAACAATCAGCATAAATGGGAGAAATCTGAAAGAAGCAACCTCCCTTACGTACCTGGGGAGCATCGTTTCAACTGCAGGCGGACGGAAGTGACGAGGATATCAAAGCGAGGATCAGAAAAACAAGGCAAGCTTTCATCACTCTCAAGTCGGTATGGAGATCAACAGCACTCAGCATCAAAAATAAGATCCGGATTTTCAACTCCAATGTGAAGTCAGTGCTACTTTATGGATCAGAGATTTGGCGCATTACGAAGGACACTTCGAACAAACTACAGATTTTCATCAACAGCTGTCTTCGCTCAATACTTAAGACCAGATGGCCAGGAAAGATCAGCAACAGGGATTTCAGGGAGTGAAGCAACCAGGAGCAAATTGTGCAACAAATATGCAGGAATTGGAAACAGGATTTCATCATGAGCTGAAATCGGTTAGAGAACCATTGGAAAAGAAACAGAAGGTGGGTTGGCAATACTCTGAGAAAGCCACCAAGTGGTATCACGTGCCAGGCTCTTGAATGGAAGCCGAATGAGAAGCAGCAAGTTGGTCGTCCGAGGGTGACATGGAGGAGGTCATGCAAAGAGATGGAGACATGTGGGCAGACGTGGAGCCAGGTGAAAACGTTGGCAGAGAACCGAACGCAGTGAAGACGTGCGGCGGAAGCCCAGTGTTCCTCTAGGAACTAAAGGAAACAATAATAATAATAAACTGAATCCAAGTGAAATTCAAATTCACCCCTGATGTGTTTCAATTTCAGCTTTGTTAAGTTAGAGTAGGTAAATAACTATTGGATATATAAAAGAAAAGGCTTTCAACGAAGAGTTACTCCTCTTTTCGGCGATATCATTCTCAAACTGTACAATCGCATGTATATATATAGTTAATTTTCTTGGAAACACAATGAATATTTCCAAAGATTGTCATTAGAATTGTAAATTTTAGATAATATAGAAAGTGTTAATCGAGTAGAAACTAAAAAATAAAATTGACTAAAGGTGCCCATTCAAAATTTTAAAAGATTGATTATTGAACGAAGAATATTCACATTTTCGATAACTTCCTCATCAGGTTCTACAGTTGTGTATATCCATCCACAGTAGTGAAAGAATGACTGTTATTGACAACATTAGTGGTTTTTTTTAAAAGGGTAACATCGAATCATTTAGATCAGAATTCCAAAAGTTATTTGCAATTAGATTGTTAATAGATTATAGTCCAAAATATATGTGTGTATGTGGTAATATGTAAAATTGTAATAATAAATTCTACCTGCCTAGTCGATCAGCATATACAAAATTGTGAGTGACACCTGCCTAGTCGATCAGCACTATAGCATATAAACCAAACCCGAAAGACTGAATGATAGATTTTAAAATATAACAAAGTAAATGATTAAGAATGACGACGGCTGTGTATATTAATAAATTCTCATCAGTCATGTTCATATTTAAGCGTAGTTTTTAACTTACACACTGACACACATACAACGCGCATAAATTCCAACCCCCAAAAAACGCTTTTTTCTTTACCCCGTCCTTGATACAATCACTCATCTATCTGAAGTTTATAATCAATATGAATGGAACTTAATATGAAAATAACTGATGCCGTGGGCATTCTTAATCATTTACTTTTGTAATATCTATGATTCAATCTTTCGGGTTGATATGCTATATTGCTGATCGACTAGGCAGGTAGAATTTATTATTACAATTTTACATATTACCACATACACACATATATTTTGGACTATAATCTATTAACAATCTAATTGCAAATAACTTTTGGAATTCTGACCTAAATGATTCGATGTTACCCTTTTAAAAAAACCCACTAATGTTGTCAATAACAATCATTCTTTCACTACTGTGGATGGATATACACAACTGTAGAACCTGATGAGGAAGTTATCGAAAATGTGAATATTCTTTGTTCAATAATCAATCTTTTAGAATAAAAATTATTAGAATTGTAAATTTTAGATAACAAACTTCGTTAATTGGTTAGAACCTAAAATAAGATTAAATAAGCAAGTTGAGTGATGTAATCTAATTGACGGGGTTGAGTAGAGCTCAAATAAAATTAAAATCGAACAAAAGTCAAGCTAACAACAGTGGTAATAGGGGGTAGGTGAAGAAAATATTATACAAATAAGAGACAAACAAGCAATAAAATGATGAAACAAAAATTACGTACTTGATGTTAAAATAGGTCAGGTCCACTGTAGATTTAATGACCGAACAGACTTCTTTTGCATAAAGAGTTCAGGTTTTAATGTGTGAATTACCATTGCCTCTGCGGTTTGAAGAAGTTTGATTCGTACTCGTTTAGCAAGATTGCCACGTATTCTATAGATGCTTTCTGCTAGTACAGGGCTGAAAATACCCACTGAGTCATGAAGAAAATAAAAGATAATTCAGCGAAGAGAATTTTCCTTATCGACGAAATCATCTTCAGAGATTGTACAGTCGTATTTATATTCACCAAAAATGTATGGTAGTCCATTAGTGAGAAATAGGGGGGATGACATAATTGATATTATTACTCAGAATTGGCTTCAAAAGTAAAAATAAAAGTTGTAAATTACGTAATACTCAACAGCACAAAGGAAGAAAGGGTTAGAAATTTCATACAGTTAAAATTGTTATTGAGTGAGAATAAAGGTAGAGGGTGTGAAAATGTACAAAAGGAACATATGAGAGCGATAATAGTGAATTAAATATTAAAGTTAAAGCAAACTAAAAAAAATTAAAATTTTCTACAGGGAACGCCCAGTGAAGAGGTTAAGATAAAGGTAGAATAAGAGACTGGACAGACTTTGATAATGTTCAAAGATGCGTTTGGGAAATGTGCGCTTTGTGCGGCCAATATAGTTAACTCCACAAGAAAAAGTGAATTTATGAACACACATTGAAGTGGCAGTTTATCCTTCACACATCCATTGATCATTTGTCGACTGAATAACTGATCCGTAACTCAGCCGAAAAGAAGGCTTTTCTCAGTGATATGCATAAGCGGTTCTTCAGGTTCTCAGCAGCAGTATCACCTTTAAATTCAACGTTCATAAATAGCAGTTTCCATGGCACCGTTTGAGTTCTTTCTGGCTTTTGCTTTACTTTCATGTTTTTCTCGATGAATATTGAAGGATATCCATTTTCCATGAGTAGCTACAGCTCACCATCGATTGTATCACTGGTACATATCCTTCGTATTCTTGAGGATAAGGAGTGGATCAATGGGACCCAACTACTATACATTTTTGATGAATAT